AGTTACTCTCATCTCATCAGTCCATAAAACCTTTGAAAAATCTGTCTTCAGATAGTTCTTGGCCCAGTCTTGCTGTTTCAACTTATGTGTCTTGTTCAGTGATGGTCAGGTTTCAGCCTTCCTTACCTTGGCCATTTCTCTAAGCACTGAACACCTTGTACCTCTGGACACTCCAGGTAGTTTGCAATTCTGGAATATAACAGCCCTGGAGGATAATGGGCTCCTGGTAGCTTCATGTTTGATTCTTCTCAAATTTTTGGCAATTAATGTGTGCTTTTTTTCTTGCGACCTGTTGACTATTTTCAACAAAACATTTGATGGTTGTATGTTCATGCCCCAATATCTTAGCAATTTCAAGAGTGCTGCATCCTTCTGAAAGACTTTTTACAATTTTTGACTTTTCAGAGTTAGTTAAATCTCTTTTTTGACCCAAAGATATTTTTTTTAATACAAGTTTTATTAATTTTTCAAATGTTTACATCCAAGTACTTAGGAAGCAGTGTGGTGATAGAGTAGTCAATAGTCCAATTACAAAATCATTCATATATATCTCAGGTTACATCAATAAAGGTTCCTCTATTTCCCACAAATATTATATTCATATTAATAGATTTCTAGCTAAAGCTCAATCAATCAATCAATATATTTGTGAATAACATTTTGGTTATACATATCCAAATCCTGTTTTTAGATTTCATTTAATTCCAATTAGCTTATTCCAATTTAGCCTTTTATAACCAATGTTTAAGCTTCGGATAATCTTAATTTCCCTCATTTCATTATAAGATAATTAACGTAACTTAAATACACATATTATTCCAGAATCTATCTTCTTACTTTATTGACAGATATATTCTGTTTCTCATCCTAGTAACTCCTCATTTAGTAACAAAATATCATTCATTGTCACAAATCTATTTCCATATAACAATTAAAGTTAAAATCTAACCGATAGTTTTAATTCCCATTATAAATCTAAATCCTAAATATTAAAGCAATCACTGTCTCTAAAAAGCTGCTTAACCCATTAGGTGGATTTCTAAATCCCATTTTTAAATCTAACTCTGGCTTTCTTTCTGTGCCAGGCAGGTTTCCATGCCAGTGCCTTTAATACATCAGATGTGTCTCCCTTCATTCCCACACCTGTTGTTTGAATCAAGGGAGAACATCCAGTTATCAGTCTTTCAAAAGAACTATCCCCTTTGTAGTTATTAGAGTGTTGACCTAATAGCTCAAATTTCAATGTTTGGTTTGAAATGTTTATCATCAGTTCAGTCTGGTCCTCTTCTTTTTCTTGCAGTTTCGTCTGAGTAAAATAAAAGGTCATATCCAGTGTTGTAATTGTTGTTTGGTTATCTAAATTGTCTAAGTTCTCAATGTAGCATATTTGTTGATCAATTCCTGTTGCTTTTGGAGTTACAGGTACTATAATTAAAATCAGTGTTTGAATATCAAAGTTCTCAGTAGATTGTACGTGTTGTTGTATAAAATCCTCTTTGATGTTATATTGTTCCTCTTCTGTTATTTTTTGGCTTGTAGGTTGATTGGTTTAAGTCTGGGGTTCAATTTGTAGTTTTGTGAAAATGTCCTTGGCTTTCACTCCTAAGTTCATTAGCTCAGTAGCTTCAAGGATTTTTTCAAGGATAAGTTTATAATTAAGTTGTCGATAGGGTTCCTCGATTTCCATGGTGATTAGAAATGGTCCTTTAGTGAAGGCTATGTTTAGTGAGAGTCAGCCATTGTCCATCTCCACACTTTGTAAAAATAATTGTCACCACCCAGCTGTTTCCACTTCTTAACTTTTTTGATAATATGAGGGGCAAATCAAGGGAGTCAACAGGAACAATTGAAAAAAATTTCAGTTGCTATGCCAGGTTTCATCACAAGATGTCCCCAGCAGATCACAAAATCTTTTCCCAGATGCCAAATAGCTTTTTATTCAGTTAAAAACCAGAAAAAACAAATATTTTCCAAAGTTAATAGTTAAAGAAGATGTTAAGTCTTTATAATAGGAAGTTTTGGGACCCCAAGGTATCCACAAAGCAAAAATCCAGTTATTTAGTTGTTAAGGTTAGTTGTTCTTTTCTTTTCTTTTGTTTCCAAAATTTAAATTCCCAAGTATGCAAACGCTGCTGTATTGAGAGCGGGGAAGAAAGTTTCAAAGAGCTTTCACAGGAAGGAGGTTAGGGAAATAGAAAGGTAAAGAAGAGTCTCACCCAAATCCTCAATGGTGCTTCATTGTGCTTAGTTGTTATTTTGGCTTTTGGCTGGTGTAACTTGATGATCGGCTATGTTAATGGCTGATCTTTTCTTTGTCTGTCCTGAGGAACTGCCTCAGATCGAAAGGAAGGGCTGCTGCCCTTCCGCAATCTAGTGAGGGTCATTCCCAATGGAAGTCGCCCCTCCAAGGTGACTTTCGACCCTTTCCAGAATCTTCCGACGAAGGGAAACCAAATGGCGGAGAGAGGACTCTCCCGGCCTGTCCAAAGGCGTTGCGATCCAGAACCGGAAGCCCAAAGATACTTTTTCATGAGGCAACTGGACTTTCTTGTTTTTCTTTGAAGACATTTTTAATAACAACAACAACAACAACAACAACAACAATAATAATCATAATAATAAAGTTGGAAGGGACCTTGGAGGTCACCGAGTCCAATCCCCTGCTCAGGCAGGAAACCCTACACCATTTTGGACAAATGGTTGTCCAGTCTCTTCTTAAAAACTTCCAGTGTTGGAGCATTCATTGCTTCTGGAAGCTGGTTGTTCCACGGTTAATTGTTTTAATTGTCAGGAAGTTTCTCCTTATTCTAGGTTGCTTCTCACCTTGATTAGTTTCCATCCGTTGCTTCTTGTCCTGAAGCTTCTTCAGCTCTGAGAGCTGAGAAAGCTGAAGAAACTTCTTGGATGAGAAACGAAACATCTTCAAAGAAAAACAAGAAAGTCCAGTTGCCTCATGAAAAAACATCCTTGAGATAACTATGACCTGGATGACTGAGAATCTCCATAGACTCTTTTTTGGCTCCTTTTGCCTGAGGAAAAGAAGCTGCCTAATAATTATGCACACCTTGATATAGGCTGTTGATCTCCTTAGGTCATACCCTCCCTCATTACACAAATACACATTACCTGATTTCTTATATCCATTAAGCATTCAAGTTTATACAGCTTGGAGGTGAAAAATATGCATGAAAATGATGATATGGTCAAAATATTAATTTGCCTAATAATTGTGCACACAGTGTAGTTATTTTTTTCTTTAATTATTTCGTCAGATTTATTTGATGTACAAAGTTTCTTTGCTAAAGCACAATAACTGGCAAGTTTTGAAGAAAAAGTATTTTATTTATTTGTTTAGAAAAAAAATTGGATGCCCATCTTAAACAGCTCTGGATAGCTTACAAGCAATACACAATAGAAAACAATATGATAAAATTCCTATAAACCAAATAAAAGATATAACTAAAATAATTGTAATACAATAGCTAAGGCACCACATAACTAGCTCATAACATTAGAACACACATTCAGCTTGTCTACATCTTTAGTTCTGGATGAGATTGTGCTACCCCAGAGAGATCTGGTATGAAATCTGCACTCTATAACTCACCTGTCTGTCATCTTACGTATAGACTACTGCAATTCATTCTAAATGGGTCTACCCTTTAAAAGAATCCAGAACTTCAGCTGGCTGGTAGTTTGCTTCCAAATCCAGTTCAACATGTTGGTCATCACCTTTAAAGCCATCATGGTATAAGTCCAGCCTATTGGAGAAATCAGCTCAAACCAATGGGATTACCCCCTCCTTCCCCATGTGTCGGCAGAAGGGGCATGCTACAAAATTCCTTGACAGCCAAGGAATTTCAGCTGAAGAATAACCTTAACTGCCATGGCTCCCACCCTTTGGAACATCTTCCCCCGAGATCAGATTCAATCCTATTCTTTTGACCTTCCAAAAGGTCTTGATGACATGGTTATACCAACTAGCCTGGGATCCTAATGGGTGTGTGACACTTTGGAGATGGCTAATGGAATAGAGAACACCACACTTCCTGTGTTCACTTTGCTCCCTCTATCGCCATCCTTCTTAGTTTTATTTTAATTGAATCTTTAAATTAAAGATCTTTATTTATTGGGTTTTTTTATTCTACATTGATTCAGTGCTTATGAACCACCTAGAGTCACTTTGGGCGAGATTAGTGGCATACTAGTTTGATAAACAAACTAACTAAATCCATTGCTTTAACTTTATAACAAAGTACTTCTTTAACATATATTAATTAAAACTCAACAATGTTTTTTCACTAGATTGTTTACAGAATTAAAAAAATAAGGCAATCTATTCTAGAAGCAGTCACAAGCCGTTTCCTGTCAATGATTCAACAGAATAATCTATTGAACAGAACTTGCTATTTGAAAACATTCTGTGAAAGACATGTGGCCCACATGGTAGTCATAGGCCACATGCTGCCACTGCTGATACTAGGAGTCGGTCATATCTCTCATAAGCTTTAAAGATGTCTGTACTCTGGCCTTTAAAGAGTACAGAGTATAGTACTATAAAGTGTATAGTACTCATATAATACAACAACAACAATAAAATCAGCCAAATGTGGAAGAAAAATAACCAACAAAAGACAATCAAAGATATAGGATCTGCCACTACCATTTTCACAATATATGTCAATGCTTATGGATAAGACTTGGAGCATGGTAATGTGGCCCAGTTTTTTGGAAGGCCAAACATAATTCTTGATCATTCCTACAGAATATTTCAAATTATAGCATAAATGCAGATGTTATTTAAATTGGCTTAGCAATTTTGTTATTGTTCTTTTGTCTTTTTTAACTGATAAATAAAACATTTTTGTCAAAGTTAATTCAACCCTTGTTTATGTTCATAAATCTACTTGAAGTGGATTAATGAATTTCAACAAATTAGTTCCATTAGTTTGAGTGAATCCAATCTTAGGTAAAAAGGCTGGATCCAAATTATAACTTACTTTTAGCTGGGCATGGAAATTGTGCATTTTTTCGATTATGACTGAAGAGAGGATGGCTGTCCGTACAGCTGCAAGATAATTTTTGTTTTTGACGTAGACTATGGAATGAAGAAAGCTTTATATTGCAAAAGAATATAAAAGCATAAGATTTTCCAGATTAATCAGACTGAAAAAAAAATCTACTCAACATTTGGGGCCTGACCACGTACAATAGCTCATGAAGCATCTAAAATTACATAAAGATTATTATCAGTTATTGCTTGTCTTTAGTTTCTATCTTTCAAAAATACTGCTTTTATACATGGGAGATGTAACAAACCCAGAATTACATCCAAGAAAATATCACTGAATGAATACACAGATACCTCCTGTTGAAAGTCTATATTACCAGATATTTAAGTTCATTCCTGCATATGGTTCAGTCTCATGCCTAAATTCTAGTGTAGACTGAAATCAGAACATATATGATTAAACTACCCAATTAACAGATTTTTCAGTTTGATTTTTTCCTTTAACAATTATCTTACCTCCTTAGCAATATATTATTTAAATGAAATCTTTACTTCTTTTCTTTTTTGTAATATCTGATAAAAGTTAAGGGCTTTGCTGTACTATGAAGATTCAAGATTTAAAGAAATTACTTTCCCAAAGTATACTTAGATATTCAGATTCCTCTGCTTAAAGTACATCGCAAATTGTTTTAGAGATTATTACTAATGTTTCTCTACAATAACTAGGTATCAAGTAGAATCACTAGATATCTTAGTAACTTTCAGTAGCATCACCAACAGTACATTTTTGGATTATCTGAAATACTATAGAATAGGTTCTGATTCTTAGTCAATCTCTCAAATAGCCATGCCTGCAGACTACATTCCAACACTGAGTATCTACATCTGGAGTCCTCAAACTGATCATCACATCAACCCCTTCATGAAGTTTCAGATTGTTCATCTTCCCCAAACACTGTAGTCAAATACTTTAATAAATATGACTTTAATAGTACAGTGAATAACAACAAAACAACAATAAGGGGCGTTTTCTTACCTGAACGCCCTTTCTCAGCATGATGATGTAGAATCCACCAGATGGGTTATTTCAGCCTTCCTGCTCAGATAGACTAGGTCCGAACTTTGGCCACGCCTCCCTCAGGGTGTGTCTTCCCAGTTTTGACGAGGCGAAGCATTTCTGACGAAGTCCGGCGCAATGGCTCCAATTATCAGGATAACTGCCTAGATTGCCTTACGGGAGGGTGTAGATTCTACATCATCATGCTGAGAAAAGGCGTTCAGGTAAGACAACGCCCCTTCTCCAGCATGATGAGTGTAGAATCCACCGGATGGGACATACCAAAGCCGCTCATGTCCCTACTGGAGGGGAAGTCTAGGCTTGTGTCCCCTGCGAAGAAACAACCTGTTGTAGGACCCGTCTGCCAAATGCGGTGTCCGCCGCTGCAAACCTATCTATCCTATAATGCCTGACAAATACTGAAGGGGAGGACCACGTCGCTTCCCTACAAATCTCCTCGACCGAAGCCTGTGTGGACCAAGCAGCAGATGCAGCAGCGCTGCGTGTGGAGTGAGATGTAATGTGTGCAGGAACTGGAAGATACTGAGAAAGATAGGCCCGAGCAATGCATGCCCTTATCCACCTATTAATGGTTGAAGAGGAAAACTCCTGACCCATGGCAGAGAGTTGAAAGGACACGAACAAGGCCTCTGACCTGCGAAAGGCTGAGGTTCGCTTGACATAGTGACACAGAGCCCTGCGTATGTCCAATTTATGCCACTGTCGTTCTAGACTATGAGAAGGATTCGGACAAAAATTTGGAAGAACTAGGTCTTGGGACCTGTGAAACAAGGTATTAACCTTTGGAATGAAGGCAGGGTCCAATCTGAGGACCACCCTATCCTTGAAGAAGGTACACAAATCACTCCTAACTGAAAGTGCAGCCAATTCCGATATTCTCCTAGCCGAAGTTATGGCTACCAGGAATGCCACCTTCAAAGACAGAAAATGAAGAGAACAAGAACTGAGGGGTTCAAACGGAGGAGAGATCAGAGCCTGCAACACCTTAGGTAGGTCCCAAGATGGATAGCGATGTACCATGGGTGGTCTAGTGCTAGCCGCCCCTTTAAGGAAAGCACTAACTGCCGGATGTTGCAACAAAGGAACCAAGTTGTCACAGGTAAGGACTGTTGACAGGGCCGCTACCTGCCTGCGGATGGTACTGGGTAATAAACCCTTGTTCATACCTTCCAGCAGATAATCCAAAATATTGGGAATTGTGACCGAGAGTGGCCTGAGATTTTGTTCATTGCACCACGTGCAGAAGTTTCTCCATGTGGCATCATAAATCCTATTAGTCGAGGGGCACCTGGAGGCTTGAATCACCAAGATCACCCCGGATGAATAGGTTTGCCTAGCTAAACTTTCCTGCTCAAGTGCCAAGCGGCTAACTGGAGCCACTGTGGGTCTGGATGTTGAAGGTTCTCTTGGCTGAGAGCCACTTGATCTGGGGGAATCCTCCACGGTGGTGAGAGCGATAGATCCATAAGGTCAGCAAACCACGGACACCTTGGTCAAAGTCGAGCAATCAAGATTACCTCCTCCCTTTCCTGAATCAGTTTGCAGATGGTTGCCTGTAACAATGGAAGGGGGGAAATGCATACAGTAGGTCCCCCGGCCACTGGCACCAGAGGGCATCTGTTCCCTCCACTCCCTGTGTCGGGAACCTGGAGAAGAACCTGGGAAGTTGAGTGTTTGACGGGGAGGCAAAGAGATCCAGATGTGGACGACCAAACCTAATCAAGATGTCCCTGAACAGTACCGGGTCCAGTCGCCACTCCGAGTGGTCCACTGTGACCCTGCTCAGGGAATCTGCTTGTCAATTCGCCTCCCCTGAAATGTGTTCCGCCCTGATGGACTCCAGGTTAGACTCTGCCCACAGACCTAGATCCAATGCCTCCTGCATGAGCAACCAGGACCGGGTCCCTCCCTGCTTGTTGACGTGAGCTTTGGCTGCCACGTTGTCCGTCAGGACTAGGACGTGCTGTCATGTCACTAGGGAGGAAAACTGTTGGAGTGTATGGCCCTGAGTTCAAGCCAATTTATATTGTGAGATAGGTCCGACCAGGACCATTGTCCCTGGGCCAAATAAGTTTGAATATGGGCACCCCAACCAAACAGACTGGCGTCTGTGGTCAAGGTGAGCTTGAGGAGCTCCTTGAAGATGGTCCCCTTGTTCATTGCGGATGAAGCCCACCATAGGAGGGATAACAAAGTGTGATGGGGAACCCTGACCCTTCTGTTGGAGGAACTGAGGTTCTGTTTCTGAAAAGGAAGGAGGAACCATTGAAGGCATCTTGAGTGAAGCCTGGCCCACGGAACGATCCCCATGCAAGAAACCATCTTTCCCAAGAGTTGGGACAGCTGTACCAGGGGCACTACTTTGCCCCTCTGAATCTGATATACCAGTTTTCGTATGCTGACCCGACGTTCTTGTGAAAGATAGACCTTGCAAAGGTCTGAATCTATGATCGCCCCAAGATGTAGGAGGCGCTTTGTGGGGATCGTGTGACTCTTCTTGAAGTTCACTGAGAACCCGTGAGCCTGAAGTGTATGTATTGTGACTTCCAGGTTTGACTGGGCCGACTGGAAGGAGCTGGACTGAACTAAAATGTTGTCTAGATAGCATTGCACACACACCGGCCTCAGCCTGAGGTTAGCCACCAAAACTGCCAAAATTTTGGTTGAAACCCTTGGAGCTGAAGATAGACCAAAGGAGTCTATCTTCTGTATTGGTAATGCCAGTCTGCGTAATAAAACCGCAGAGGAACCTGCGATGTTCTGGGAGTATCGGAATGTGTAAGTTAGATCTATGGAGGAGAGGAAATCCCCTTTCCTGATACTGGCGAGAATGGACTTTAGGGTCTGCATCTTGAACCTCCTGTAGGTTAAGAAGTAATTCAGACCCTTTAAGTCCAGTATCCCCCTCCATCCTCCTGAGGCTTTGGGGACCACAAACAGAATGGAATAAAACCCCTTTCCTTCCTGATCCCGTGGTACTGGTTCTATGGCCTTGATGTCTAATAGATGGGAGATGGCCGTGGCTACCAATTTTGCTTTGGTTGTGTTTCTTGACACCGGACACTGAATGAAGCGGTCTGGAGGAGGAGAGTAGAACTGCAGGGTGAGACCGTAGACGGTTTCCCTTACCCAAGAGTCTGTGGTGGTCGTCTCCCAAATGTCGCTGAACAGCGCCAAACGACCCCCGATGGGAGAGTCCAACTTGGCGTCACTTGGACCGCCTATACGGGTGACCACCTGATCACCGGAAGGGGCTTTTAGATTGGAATCGGCCCTTGGCTCCCACGTTCTGGCGGTCCTGCGGATGATCCTGTCTGGGGGGAAAAGGATCGTGAGCCTCTTGACCAATCCCAGGACTGCCCTGCCTGAAAGAACTGTCTCCACTCCCAGGAACTGCTGGGACAGAAGGCCTGCCTAAGGAACTCCTGTTGGGGCCACTTATCAGGCCGTTTGGAGGGATGTGCCAGAATCTTACGTTTATCCTTGCTCTCAATAATGTGCAGTTCAAGGATTGGCCCGGACAGCTGTGTACCACTATATTTGGACGTGGAAAAGTGCCACTTTGACTTCAAATCCGTTCTCCACTGTTTCAGCCACAGTAGCCTACGAGTGGCAACCATAGCTACAATGGATCTGGCAGAGTACCTGGTCGAATGGAGAGAAGCGTCTGCCACATACTAGTTTTCCTAGTGTCTGATGTGTCCGAACCTGATCCGGTGGAACAAGTGTCTGAAGTTCGTGAAGCCACATGATCGATGCCCTGGCGAAGAAAGAGGATGAAGTCGCGGCCTTTATCACCTATGCCGAAGCCTGGTGCGCTCGGCAGAGAGAGAGTTCAAACTTCTTTTCCTCCGCTTTCAGGGCCTCAGCCATATCCCCTGGAATAGCAGATGTGGAAAACAAAGAAGTCAGAGGAGTATCAACTGAAGGTACCTCCAAGAGGGATGCAAAGGAAGAAGACACATTGAATAGTTTCTTCTCTGTATTATTAGGAGAAGGCAGAGCGGCCAGGGATGACCACTGTTTCTCCACTGTAGTACGGAAAACCTGTGGACAGGGAATCTGTTTGTCCTCCACCACCTGTTCCGCAAACAAAGGGTTAGATTCGTGACTGGCGGAGGTAGAAGGTTTCTCCTCCTGTACCGAAGTGAGGTTAACGGTGGTAACGGCCTTCAGCAGTAGAGACCTGAAAAGAGAAGGGTCAAAAAGCCCTGAAGTTGGCACCTGTTCTGGCGCTGCCTCATCCTCTGACATGGGCATGTCAGCTATCTCCAGGTCATCAGACCCCTCTTCCTCTAGTTGGAAAGAAGTCTTGGAAACACCTGAACCAGGGACTGTGGTACATTCCTCTCGAGAAGGAGGTATAGAAGGAGGTGATGGTGGTTGAAAAGTCCGTTGTCCCCTAGAAGACATGAATTGCATAAATGCATTGTGCATGAAGGACTGAAACTCAGCTGACCACCTATCCCCTTGTTCCACATGACTAGCACCAGACTCAGCTGGAATAAACATGGCCTCAGGGCCATGATGAGAAGATGACAATGAGGAGCAAGGGGGACCAGCCTGCACAATTTTCCCCTGAGGAGACCAAGTCCTTGGAACATCATGAGAAGGTGCAGATGGAGGCTCAGATGCAGGAGTATCCAATGGAGTGGGGGGGAACCACTTCAGCTTCACTGGACCTGAGCCTTTGGGTTTTGGAAAATTCCCTTTCCAGTGCCAAATATCTCCTCGAGGCCTCTCGCTCAGCTGACTTTGAGGGCTCTTTGGTAGAGATGTGTTTTGTTTTGGCCTTTTTCTTTCCCCCCATGTCCAAATCAGTAGATCCACACTTTGCTTGTGTGGGGAGAATACCAGAGCCCTGGGATGCCTGGGGCGAGGAACTGACTGCCATTGCAGTCTAGATAATCCGAGTAGGAGATATCCAGGAGTGGGGGGAACCCAAACACGCAGATCTAGTTGACAGAAATGGAAAACTGATCCTCGCTCTGCACAACAGCAACAGCAAGGACAGCCAGACAGCTCCCTAGAACTGCCTGCCTAGGCCTGTGACAAATGCCACACACTAATTGTAACAGGTGGAGTAAATAAATTCCCCTTCACACAACTCACCCCAGAAGATGAGGATATGTGCTAGAGCACAATGAGTAGTTAGAATAATAACACACAATACTGATCAGGAATCAGCTCTGTGTCTGATGAACACTGAAAACTGCCCCCCGGTGAAAGGATTGACAAGGCAGACCTGTGGCAATAACAAAGCAGGCTTCAATTCTCTTGTGAGGAACACGAAATCCCTCAAAATGGCTTCCGTGCTCAAAGACACACTCAAAATGGCCGTTGATGACCCCCTTCAATATGGCGACCGCCTGCAGAACACGCGGTTAAAATGGCGGCTGTGCCTGTCTAGTTCCTCCCAAGGAAAACGAGCACACCAAAGAGGGGAATAGAAGGGAATTGAAACCCCCTGCCAGAAACAGACTTTAAGCCAGTCAATCTAAGCAAAGCAATTTCCCCTTGAAAACACTTGCTGTTAGGCACTCTGCCTCCGCTGCAATGCAAATCCTGAAGCCCAGAAAAGCCCTGTGCCGACGAAGCTGAGAAAGAAGCCTCTGAATTTTCTGAGTCTCTGAGGACTCCAATTGCCAAAAGCCAGCTGGTCGGCTGGTCCGCTGCTCCGCTGATTGCCGATTAGGAGCTGAAAAGCCCCTGTTTGATAAATGGCCTGCAGCTTTCTCCACAGGAGCCTGTTGGGCTCGAGGCCAGAAGGCCTGATTCGAATTTCGACCTCAGTTTTGTGAAGATAGTTCCAAATGAAAAAACCAACACAATCTAAATATATACTAATGATTTTAAAGCCAATTAGATTCAATTAGATTCAATTAGAAAGCAAATTAACCTAGCCTAGCTAAGGAGCTGAAAAAACTGCGCCCTGTCTGAGCCTGAGACTAAGTCAAAACTGGGAAGACACACGCTGAGGGAGGCGTGGCCAAAATTCTGACCTAGTCTATCTCATCAGGAAGGCTGAAATAACCCATCCGGTGTATTCTATAATCATGCTGGAGAATGGATAGGTGCATTGAATCTTAGAGGTCAATACTGACCACTTCAAGGAAGTCTGATCTTCATAGAGGTGCTGGAGGAGCGTATCTGTAAACCTTGCATTAGAATGCAATTAATACATTAACAATATTGAAATCTATTTTTCTGTACTATTCATCATGAAATGGCTATGCTTTTTTAATGGCTATCTACATACAATAATGGATTGATTGATAAGTAATACATTGACGCTAAATATAAACAAGACAGGGATGTTTGTGATTAGCTGTTCAAATCCTGGAAATGTGATCTAGCTACAAATACAGTAAGTGGTTCAGCGGTTAAAATGCTGGGCTTGTTGGCTGGAAAATCGGCAGTTCAGGTTCAAGATCTGAGTACCATGTGATGGGGTAAGCTCTCATCTTTGCCCCAGCTCCAACTATAATGTGAGTAGAAGAATAAGTAACACCTTGGTGATAAAGTAACAGTGCTCCATAATGTCATGCTGACCACATGACCATTGAAATGTCTTCAGATAGCATTGGCTCAATGGCCTTGAAACGGAGATGAGCACTGCTCCCTATATTCAACTAGCAGAATAAAATCTGCAGGGACTCTATAGGTACAGTATGGACTTAAAGTCCTCTAAACGTAACAGATACTTATGTAATCATTTTCTATTTTAATTTCTATTTGTTGCATATCACAATGGCTGGTTTCACACATATTACTAAGACATTAAATCAAAACAATTCATACTATTTATTGTTTGTTAAGAAGTGTTTATGGATTTAATTCTCTTTTCATTGGTTGTCAGAGATGAAGTGTCAGGGAGAGGTAGTTTGCATTCTAGCCTATTGAAAACTTCACAAGGTACATTGGTATCACTCTTCATCTCAAAGTTTCATTTCAAAATCTTAAGAGACCTTCCTATCTCTTCTGTACATTTTTCATATAAAATTATTATATTATACCATGGATATCTTTATATAAGATGTTCCATTTAATTTGTTTAAAACAACCAGCATCTATACATACCCACTGAATAATTATATTGATGTAGATTCTTGAATGAGTCCATGTTTCAGCACATTGAATTGAACAAAGCAGCTATTGCAATATTCTTTTCAAAACTGATTTAGAAAACTGAATATATAATAATGGAGTTGGAAGGTACATTGAAGGTCTTCTAGTCCAAACCTCTACTCAAGCAAGAGGCCAAATATCATTCTGGACAGATGGCTGTCCAACCTCTTATTAAAAACCTCTAGCAACTTTTGGAGACAAGCCATTCCGCTGATTAATTTTTCTTTCAGGAAATTTTTCCTTAGTTCTAGATTGGATCTCTCCTTGATAGGTTTCCATCTGTTACTTCTTTTTTTTTAATTACTTTAGAGAATAGGTTGAGACCCTCTTCTGTTATAGTCCCTCAGATGTATAAATAGTTTTAGTTGGTGTATATTTAAATTGCTGTTTGCACTAGGATGGATAACTATAGTGGGTAAGGAGAAAAACATTACTCAGAAAATTAAATTACCAAATTGAGATTTCGGTAGTGCACCTATTTGACAAACTATGGTGAATGCAGATTGTTAAACTCATTTTGTGCTATCCTAAGAGTTTAGAAAAATAAAACTCTCACTTAAGATGCTTTTTAGTTGTCATTCCAAAAAGCTTTCTTTAGAAAAGCAATGATAATAAGACCAATCTGGTAGACTTGTGGTGAAATAATACATTTTTGTTTAAAAGGAAAGAAGGAGACAAAAGGGTGTGTTCACCTTTGTACAATTAAAAGAAAAATTTAATTTATATAAGAAAAGCCATGGTTTTGAATTTGCTTCAAGTGAATTTGAAATTGCACTGTGTGCTAATAATGAAACAAGAAGAGATTGTCTGAAAATCAAAACAGTTAATCAATGGAATAGCTTGCCTCCTGGAGTAATTAGTAATAATAAAATTACTATCAGAAAATGTATCATTGGTATTCATGCCCCCCAAATTGTTAAAGATGTATAATGGAATTTCAAATATATTCTGGTAATGCAACTGTAAAGACTACTTTTAATCATCTATAATGGACTGCATCAAAACAAAGAAATATTGGGATAAGATTTTTATCTTAATTCAGAAATATCTTAAAATAAATGTAAAACAAAAACAAGAAGTTTTCCTTTTAGTTTGATGAAAAGCTTGAAAGAAAATTCAGAACATTATTACTATATAAGTTGACAGTGGTGAGAATCTTACAGTATATGCAACTAAGATAGAAGGCTACATTAATTGTCACACTAGAGAAGGGATGGCAAAGGGTGCCGAGTTGTAGCTGTAACATTTTTTATACTGCACTGTAAAAAGTAAAAAGTCCTTTCTTTATCTTTCTCAATTTTTATTTTTATTTTATCTTATAAATGTTAATAAAAATGCAATAAAAATTCTTACTGTGTTGTCAGAATCATTATTTACTAAATTGTGATGAAAATGCAACTTCACTGAACATTCTCAGTCTTTTTTAATGAAATCATATAGCATATTTAAGACAGGAAAGAATATTTCATCCTATATATTAAACAGCACATCAGTTTTAAAATAAAATGGAAATAAAGCATACCTCTCTAAAACTTGTGTGTCAGTATCCAGGCTGACATTGCTACAGCTTGCTTCATTAGAATCTTGTATTGAATAAACACCTGTTGAAAGTTTTTTGTTTCCATCCATAGTTTGATTTAATTAATACTTGACTCTGAAATAAATTAGCATTTAAAAGAAACATAAACATGAATTGCAGCATTAAAACATAATAAACTAAATACAACATGTTTTTTATACGGGGAAACATCCCAAATCCATAGGATATAAAAGTCAATCATGTGCATTATTAAAAACAAAGCTGTTCATTAAAGTAAGTCAAATATGAGTTACCTAGAATTTAAATTTTGCAATATCTTCTTTTCTACAATAGACTATATCATACTTAATCTGCTTAGAAATTCATTTGTTCTAATGTAGGAGTTTTTCTGGATTTTGTACTAAGATTTCAGTTAATGCAACGTGTATACATATTTAACAGAATCATAAAGTATTTAAAAATGGGCTGTTATGCAGTCAATCTCTAACCTTTATAATAGTACATGAATATTTTCATCCAATTTTCACTATTTTTAAATAAATTCTTGTAAATGAATTGTTGAGTCAAAAAATATTACACTAAAAAGATTGTTATAATTTTAGTCATCCTGTTTCCTTCTCTCAAGTGGCAGGAAGTCCCATGGAGCAACCTTATACAAAGTTTGTTTCTTTGCAAAGTAAAAATAATGCAGGCTTAAGGAAATTTGATGTTTACTACCCAACATACAATTACATTTGTGGAAAGAGTCACAAATTTTCTATGACAGAAATACTTTTCTCAAATGCAAATATAATCCATTGAGACCTCAATTTTAACAAGCATCTTCATGAAAAATCTTACACAAAATACATATTTATAATACATAAAGTAAACAAGGATATGCTTAGCAATATGCAAGGGTCCTTTTGTAGATTTCAGTTCGTCATTCAATACCATCATTCCAGATATTCTTCTCACTAAACTAAATCAGCTAGCCGTGCCTGACCACACCTATAAGTGGATCATAAGCTTTCTAAAAGACAGGAAGCAGCAAGTGAAGCTAGGCAAAAATCACATCAGATACTTGTACAATTAGCAGACCCCCCCCCCCAGGGCTGTATGCTCTCTCCACTTCTCTTATCTCTATATATCAATGACTGCATCTCAAATGATCCCTCTTGTTAAGTTTGGTGCTCGGTGAAGCATCAATGAGGCAGCAGGTGAACAAACAACTCTTTATTTCAGGTTTAAGCAGAAGCCTGAATAACTGCCACTCCACCCCTATTTATACACTCAGCAACTAAGCGGCAGCCAATAGGATTCAAGTATTAGTTCCCGCTTTTAACACAAGTAATTAGCATGTAGACAGAAAGTCTGGCTCTTAACTGACAGTCTTATGACTGGTTTTTTCAACATTTCCAAGTAATTCACCAGAATACATTACACCCCTTCCCCCTAGATAGTTCATAAGGACATTTGTTGAACATATTCCAAATACATTGGTGGCCTTTTCGCCCGTTCCGAATGCCTCGGAACTGCTGGAGGCCCCCAATCTTGGCTTGGAAGACTGGGGACCCATCCGTCATGGGTAGACTTGAGTCTGTGTGGCTGGGCTGTACTGGTTGGCCCAAGCCAGTGTCCACAGGTGGAACAGAGTCTACCAGTCCTGAAAATGGAGCCGTCTGCTGGCATTGCCCATTGGTTGCAGTATCAATGGTTGGGACTGACTCACCAGACGCTTGAGTCTCGTCCCTTTGTCAGAGAGCTCCACCGTCGTTGGCAGCATCTGATGCACTACTTCACTCGTGCTGCTCCTGAGTTTGACTGTACTAGAGTCATGAGTTATTGGCTGGGTTGCTATCCTCCAATGTGCCGGCGTAGCATGTGACCGTTTTTCAGGACCACTTCATAGGAAAGTGGCTCAGTCACCTTACAAACCATAGCTACCACCCACAATGCCCCTTGTCTATAGTTCCTCACCCAGACTGGGTCACCAATTTGCAAGTGCTGTGGTGCCTTTGGCTGTGTTGCCTGTGAGGCAACTCTATCTGGATGTAAGTGATCCAGCTTTGTGATCAAATGCCTGCCCCATCTTAATTCTGCTTTTGCCCATGGAAGTGCATGGGGTTGTGCGTTGGCAGAGTAGGAAATCTGCCAGTCTGTGTTGCCAATTACCAGTTACTATCCTCTTCAAGGATTCTTTAGTTGTGCAAACTATGCGCTCTGCTTGGCCGTTTGAAGCCGGGTGAAAAGGGGCTGATGTGGCATGTCTGATCATATTAGCCCTTAAAAAGGAATGAAATCTGAAGCAGTAAATTGAGCCCTATTGTCTGAGATAATCATGTCAGGTAAGCCAGGTATGGCAAAGATTCTGTGCAGCTCTTGGATGGTCCTGGCAGTAGTGATAGTGAGGACAGGTGCGACCTCTAACCACTTGGAGTGACTGTCCACCACAATAAGGGAGAGTTGTCCCTGGAAAGGCTCTGCATAATCGATGTGGATCCTGGACCAAGGGGTGTGTGTGGTTTCCCATTGGTGGACTGAGGCATGGGCATCTCTGGCCTAGATTTCTGGCAAATGTGGCAGCTGTGTACCTGAGCCTCAATATCTTTGTCCAGCCCAGGCCACTAAAGGTAGCTTCACATGAGTGCCTTCATCCGAACAATTCCCGGATGTCCCTCCTGCAGAGACTCCAAGACTCTAGTCATCAGTGAGTTTGGGACTACAACCCAACTCTCCATAAGATGCACCCCCTGTGAGCTGACAACTCGTCCTTCCTCCTACTGAAAGTCTGGAAGTTAGGCCCCGGACTAGTTTCTGGCCACTCTGTGAGCACCCAGTTTAACATGTGGCTTGGCATCTTGTCTGAAGCTGTCTTGCAGCCACATCCCCTGCATTAAGGGGAGACTCAAGCAGATCCTGGATAGCCAGGATGCGTGTGGCTGCAGCGGGGTCGGGCTCTAAATGCAGCAATGGTAGTCTGCTAAATCCGTCTGCATGACCCATTTCCCTACCTGGTTTATGAATCAAACTGAAATTATATGCTGACAGGAATATTGACCACCTCAACATCCTAGGAGATATGTTCTGGGGTGTTTGCTTGTTCGTTGTGAACAACCGCCGGAGTGGCTTGTGATCTGTGAAGACCATGAAGGGCCTACCATATAGATAGTCATGAAACTTCTTGATCCCTGCCACTATGGCCAAGGCCTCTTTATCTATTTGAGCGTAATTACGCTCTGCAGAGGACAAGGTCCTCAAGTAATAGGCTATTGGAACTTGCCTTCCATCAGCAATTAAATGATTCAACACAGCCTCAACCCCATACGGTGACGCATCACAAGCGATGCAGACAGGCAGCTTTTCGTTAAAATGCATCAAAATGGAGTTTGAAAACAGCAGTGATTTGACTGCTGAGAAGCTCCTGTCATGGACACTGGTCCACTTCCACTGTGCATGTTTGTCCAAGACCCGGTATAACAGCTCTGTCACTGCGGCTTTGTGAGGTAGGAAGGCGTGATAAAAATTGAGCACTCCTAGAAATGCTTGGAGGTCCCCCTTTGATTTTGGACTGGGAGCCTGCTGAATTGCTTTGAGCTTGGGTTTAGAAGAATGAATGCCTTGGGCATCTATATGGAACCTGAGGAACTCAGCTGAAGCTACCCCAATCTTACATTTCTCCCACTTCAACTTCAGCCCTGCTTCGCGGAAGTGCTGAAGGACGGCCTTGAGCCATTTTGCCAATTTTTTGACTGATTCCCAAGCTATGAGGACATCATCGAAATATGGGCACACATCTGGAATACCCTTGAGTGTGTGCTCCATCACTCCCTGGAAGAGGCCTGGGGCAACACTGACTCCGAATTGTAGGTGCTTAACCTTCAAAGCTCCCCTGTAAGTAACTATGGTTTGAGCTTCCGCCATGGCATCATCCACTGGCAGTTGCTGATAGGCTTGAGCCAAATGTAACTTGGCAAAGATGCGACCTCCCTGTAATGGTGCCAAAATGTGGCTGACTACAGGCACCGGATATGCGTGTTGTTGGAGTGCTCTATTGATAGTGCACTTGTAATCTGCGCATATTTGCACTTGGCCTTAAGTGGCATAACTATGGGGGTTTCCCATTGACTGCTATCAACTGGCTGCAGGATGTCTTGCTGCACCAGCTTGTTCAGCTCTGCATCGATCTTCTGCTTGAGGGCGAAGGGAACTCTATGCAGCTTGATCCTTATTGGAGTTATGGCAGAATCAAGCTGAAGAGCTATGGGAGGACCCTTATATTTCCCTAAGTGAGGGCTAAAAACATCAGCAAACTGCCACTAAGTCCACTGCTTGTGTGTTGTTTATTCCAGTTACATTGATTCCCAATTTATCAAACCAATCAAGCCCAATGAGGCTTGTGCGGTTGATTGCACCCTGAGTGTAGCTTCCCCTTGACTATTGCTCGGGAGTTTTGGAAATCCATTAAGATGAAGTTCGATAGCTTGTACTTACCTCTTTTGCCACTGCGACTACAAATGTGTTTGAAAGTCCCCTGGGAAATTATGAATAATGCAGACCCCATATCTAGTTCCATGTTCCATGAACAAACAACTCTTTATTTAAGGTTTAAACAGAAATCTGAATAACTGCTGCTCCACTCAGCAACTAAGTGGCGGCCAATAGGATTCAAGTATTAGTTCCTGCTTTTAACACAAGTAATTAGCATGAAGACAAAAAGTCTGGCTCTTAACTGACAGAGTCTTATGACCATTTTTTCAACATTTCCAAGTATTTTGCCTTAATACATTACTCCTCTGTTAAAGTACTCAAGTTTGCAGATGATACAACAGTGACTGGCCTCATTCGAGACAATAATGAATCGGCATACAGATGGGAGGTTGAACAACTAGCCTTATGGTGTGGCCAGAACAATCCTGAACTGAATACACTCAAAACTGTAGAAATGACAGCAGACTTTAGGAGAAACCCTACTATTCTACAACCTCTTACAATACTAGACAACATACAGTAGTAGTAAAAATTGTGGAAACCTTTTGGGAAAAGTGCATTTTTGAGGTTTGATGGCTAATAACAACACTTTTTTTGGAGTAGTACCATAAAATTATATATCAATGAAAAGATAATTTAATCAA